GTGATCCCACAGAATGTGGAAATTATTGAACAATATCATTATCAGACGCAAATAAAATTTTGCTGAAGACGATTCAAAAATGCTTGTGGCATACATCAATACAGAACTTCCAGAAATTCAAGCTGGACTCAGAAGAGGATGTGGAACTAAGGATATCATTGCTCATGTCAGATGGATTTTGGTTGAGAGCAAAGAACACCAGAAAGATGTTTGCCTGTGTTAATATAATACTATGAAAAGGCATTTGACTGTGTGGATCATAACAAATTATGGATAACGTTCCGAAGAATGAGAATTCCAGAATACTTAATTGTGCTCATGAGGAACCTGTACATACAGCAAGAGGCTGTTGTCTGAAAAGAAGAAGGGGAAACTGCATGGCTTAAAATCAGGAAGAGTCTAAGTCAGGGTTGTATCTTTTCACTGTACTTATTCCATCTGTGTGCTGACCAAATAATCCAAGAAGCTGAACTATCTGGAGAAGAATACCGTGTTAGGATTGGATGACTAACAGCCTGCAATATGCAGGTGACACAACCTTGCTTGCTGAAAGTGAAGATGACTTGAAGCACTTCCTGATGAAGATCAAAGACTACAGTCTTCAGTATGGATTACACCTCAACATAAAGAAAACAGAAATCCTCACAACATCACAATAAACGGAGAAAAGATTGAAGTTCTCAGGAATTTCATTTTACTTGGATCCACAATCAACACTCATGGAAGCAGCAGTCAAGAAATCAGATGTCATATTGTACTGGGCAAATCTGCTGCAAAAGACCTCTTTCAAGTGTTAAGAAGCAAAGATGTCACTTTGAAGACTGTTGTTGTTGTTGTTGTTTGCCGTTGAGTCGGCCCCGACTCATAGCGACCCCTCCTTGGGTTTCCGGGGCAGTATCACTATGGAAGTAGATTGTCCAACCTTCCTTCCGAGGAGTGGCTGGTGGGTTTGAACCGCCAGGCTTCTGGTGAGCAGTCAAATGCCTTAGGCACCATGCTACCAGAGCTCCCACTTAAACTCAGGCCACTTCCCTGTGGTCAGTGTTACCTCTATATCCTGCTTCCCTTGACATTCCCCAGCCCACTCAAGCTTAGGGCAAGGAGTTAGTTCAGAAAACTAACACAGAAAGCCTCCATGCACTCCTCCCTCCCCCATGTCTACTTTCTTCCTGTATGTCTCCTCTCCCAGAGCTTTCAGCATCTCCTATGCAGAAACAATTTCCATAATCCCATTCTCTTCCACATTGAAGCACTAGCGTTGTGGCAGAAACCTGACACGAGCTGGTAAGACAATCTGGAGAAGCTTCAAGGCTTCCTGTTGCCTGCATCCTAATTTATATGCTAAACTGGGCCATCGGTATTACAAGCAAAGAAGAGAGATGTTAGACTATATTTAAATCAGCAATCAAACCAAACCAAAAACTCACTGCCATGGAGTCAATTCTGACTCATAGCAACCTTACAGAACAGAGTAGAACTGCCCCATGGTCTAAATCTTTACAAAAGCAGACTGCCTCATCTTTCTCCAGCCTCCAGAGCAGCTGGTGGGTTGAAACCTCTGACCTTTCGGTTAGCAGCTGAATGTTTTGCCAGAGCTCCTTTGAATTGGCAACATAAGAAATAAACACATGAGCAGTTTGGAGCCCCACCTTGACAACCCTCTTGTCTCCATTTCCTTGTTAGCCTTTTGGTCACCCATTTGCTCCTTCTGTTCCTTCCATTCTTAAGTCCTTTACTACCTCCCTTCACTATGGGGGCTTACTACTACTATACTATACCGTACTGTGGGGGCATTAATTTTTCAAAGGGTGTGGAGCGTGAGAACAAAAATGGGAATAGGAGTCACGGGCCCAGCGTCAACTATCACTGTAAAGTCTTGTAGGACTGATTGGGCGCTGAAGGAAAATGCATAAATTGGGCATGATAAGACATGAAACATAACCACCAGGTGGCACTCATACTTTACAGTTTGAAGTTTAATGGATAATTTTGTAGTGTGGCAGAACACTGAAGACTTGGGATGTTATGGTTTATATAGCTGATAATAAATTATATTTCAAACTCTATCAAATTTTGAACAGAAAGTCTTTTTTGTCCTTTATCTGGGTTGCAGTTATGTTTTAATGTGTAGATGGTGTTTTAATCTACGGGAAGAATAAAGGAAGATTACAAGGAGGGTGTGTGTGTGTGTGTGTGTGTGTGTGTCCCAATTCACCTGCATTGTTGGATGATGATGTTCCAGTGACGGGACTCAAGGGGGAAGCCAGTTTGGAGGTGATTATTAAAAAGTAATACCAAAAAACCAAACTCACTGCCTTCCAGTCGGCCCCGACTCATAGCGACCCCTCCTTGGGTTTCCGGGGCAGTATCACTATGGAAGTAGATTGTCCAACCTTCCTTCCGAGGAGTGGCTGGTGGGTTTGAACCGCCAGGCTTCTGGTGAGCAGTCAAATGCCTTAGGCACCATGCTACCAGAGCTCCCACTTTGAAGACTAAGGTGCCCCTAACCCAAGCCACTTTGAAGACTAAGGTGCCCCTAACCCAAACCATGGTATTTTCAACTGCCTCATATGCATGTGAAAGCTGGACAATGAATAAGGCAGACCAAAGAAGAACTGATGCCTTATTCTTCACCAACACCAACTGATGTGGTGTTGGTGAAGAATAGTGAAAATACCATGTAGTACCAGAACTGGGAGCTCTGGTAGCGTAATGCCTAAGGCACTTGACTGCTAACCAGAAGCCTGGCGGTTCAAACCCACCAGCCACTCCTCAGAAGGAAGGTTGGACAATCTACTTCCATAGTGATACTGCCCCGGAAACCCAAGGAGGGGTCGCTATGAGTCGGGTCCAACTCCATGGCACAGAACAACACCACCACCACCAGAAGAAAGAACAAATTTGTCCTGGAGGAAGTGCAGCCAGGATGCTCCTTAGAAGCAATAGCGGCCAGACATCATCTCACCTACCTAGGTCATGTTGTCAGAAGGAAACAGTCCCTGGAAAAGGTTATCAAGCTTGGTAAAGGGGAGGTAAAACAGGGAGGATCCTCAACCAGACGGATTGACACAGTGGCTGCAAGCATAGCCGAGATGGTGAGGATGGTGAGGACCAGGCAGGGTTTCGTTCTGTTGTCCATGGATTCGCTATGAGTCGGAATCAACTCAACGTCACCTAACAACAACAGCTTCATCCAAAAGTTAACGGGGAATCAAGGACTTTAAGCAGGTGAGTGACTTGATCAGAGTAGTATTTCCCAGACCAAAGTTCTAACCTCTTCAAGGTTTCTGCCATATCTCCCTATTGCCTATAGCTAACTTACCAATATTGTTAGATGAACTTTAATACATCTATTTGGAAGTGAGAATAGCAAGACTCCATTTGACCCACTTTGGTCAGGTCAGAAAGGACCACTCCCTGGAGAAGCATATCGTGCTTGGTAAAGTGGAGGGTCAACAGAAAAGAGGAAGGCCCTCAATTATATGGGTTGGCACAGTGGCTGCAACGATGGGCTCAGGTATAGCAAGGATTGTGAGGCTGGCACAGGACTGGGCAGTGTTTCGTTCTGTTTACACAGGGTCGCTATGAGAAAAGAGTGGAAGGCACCAAAGAACAAGAACATTTAGGAAGGAAACCTTACCCACACCGCTTACCATGATAAAAATGAATTTAAGGGCGGGGAGGGGAAGCCTCACTGCCATCAAGTTGATTTCCAACTCATAGCAAACCCCTATCGGGTTTCAGAGGTGGTAAATCTTTACAGAAGTAGATTGCCCAGGCTTCCTTCCAAGGTGGGTTTGAACTGCCAACCTTTTGGTTAGCAGTCAAATGCCTTAGGCACTGCACCACCAAAGCTCCAAAATAAGTATCTTGTTGTTATGTGCCGTCCAATGGACCAAACTCATAGCGACCCCTCTTTGGGTTTCCGAGGCAGTATCACCACGGAAGTCGATTGCCCAATCTTCCTTCCGAGGAGTGGCTGGTGGGTTTGAACCACCAGCCTCCTGGTTAGCAGTCAAGTGCCTTAGGCACTACGCTACCAGAGAATGGAACAGTGCTACTATCTTCATACGAAAATTATAGTTTGCTTTTTAATTCAGGACCTCTGGTGACGCAGTGCCTAAGGCAATTTTGACTGCTAACCAGAAGGTTGGCGGTTAAAACCCACCAAGCCACTCCTGGGAAGGCAGATTGGGCAATCTACTTTCGTAGTGATACTGCCTCAGGGTCGCTGTCTCCACAGCAGTGAGTTTTTTTCTTTTCCCCCACGTCACCCTAGCCTGGAGTATAAACTCCATGAGAGCGACCTTAGTTGTGAGGATTCTCTAGCTGGCGGACGCAATTATCTATGTCCCAGACTTTCAGAGGATAGAGCTGCGAATTTATCCGACAAAGCGTCTGCTTTAGTGGAGTTAATGATATAGTGAGGAATTCACGGAGTAAGCGGCGCTCAAGCCCGGCTGCTCTTCACATACGCCAACAAGTTGAACTCTCCTAAAACCACCCGTTTCCAAGGGCTCGGAGATTGGGCAATCTACTCAACAACACTCCCGTAGTGATACCGCCTTGGAAACCCAAGGAGGGGTCGCGGTGAGTCGGACTCCACTCCACGGCAATGAGGTTGGTTGTTTTGTTGTTGATGATGTTTTATTTTTATTATTATTATTATTTTACAAAAACACCCGTTTCCAAGGACTCAGAAAGCAGTTCCAGAGAAGGCGCGAGCCCGGAGCCGTTTGGAATCCTGGGGAAAAGGCTGTTTTATTGGAGGATGTAGATCGGAAGAATCCAAAGTGGCGGAGGGGGAGTCATAATAGATTGTCGTAGACGTACTCCTAACGAATTACCAAATGGATATCCAAGACATGAAAAAGATCCAAGAAGCGTTAAACTAGATTATGTGCTTTATATTTACTTACAAAACCTTGCATCTCCCTAGCCCACGTCTTGAAGATATTGGACTGATCCACCAGCTCCTGGGAGCAGTAGAGCGCAAAGCATATAGAGAGGGCCTCTCGTAAAAGGGGCGTGGGAAAGCGTGTTCGCGGGGAAAGCTGGGAAACTCTCGTACTCTGCCACCATCTTGCTTTCCTGTAACCCGGCAGGGGCCGTGGGACAGAGAAACCTTGAGCCATGAAGCTGCTAACCAGAGCCAGGACCCTCTCGGTGAGCACAGGCGGCGGGTTTGGGAAAGAACTGGGAAGCAGTTTGTCAGCAAGGTTGTGCGGACCAGAGGTGCCTAGTTTAGAGCACCTGGGGTCTTGGGCTTCGGTCCGCCCTTCCGCTGAACCCTGAGAGCAAAGTGGCCTGCAGGCAGGGTTGGGCACTGTAAATCCAGCGCGCTCTATGAGCAGAGACTTTACGTCGGAAAACCTGAAGAGAGGGAGAGGGATTGAAAGCGGTAGTGAAACGACGCGGTGGAAAGACCTCTGAAGGTCACTTTGCACTTGCGTGCCCTAGGAGACCACGGATTCGCGGGGCTTGTGGCCAGTAAAGAGCTAACTCTCCACCCCTACCCTATCAGCAGCCGCCTCTGCTCCTGGGTGTGTCACGCAGCTTGAATGTCGCCAATCGTTAAATGGGCTTATGAGTGGGGTTATGAAGAAGAAATGAGCTAATGAAAGAATAGCGCTAATCACAGTACCTGGAATGTCATTATTTACTCTTAGGGTGTCATGGCAGCATGTTGTTGTTATGTGCCGTCGAGTCGGACCCGACTCATAGCCCATCCTTGGGTTTCCGAGGCAGTATCACTACGGAAGTAGATTGCCCCATCTTCCTCCCGAGGAGTGGCTGGTGGGTTTGAACCGCCAGCCTTCTGGTTAGCAGTCAAGTGCCTTAGGGACTACGCTGCCAGAGCGCCTCATGGCAATATAGCATGTACTTTTCTTCATCTCTTGTTAGAGGGTTCTTCCAGGAGAAGCTCTTGGTCTCTTCTGCAGAGCTGCTTTAGGCCCCCTGCCCAAAGGAAACACAGCTGTCACTTGGGAAAAATTCAAGCCTCAGTGTCTGTAACTGTGTATCAAGGGGGATGGGAGCATTTAAAAAAAATTTTTTGACTAGGGGTGATTGTGCTTTCCCGGGGGCACTTGGCAGTGTCAGGCCTTCATAACTTGGTAGGGGGCTGCTATTGGCATCTAGAAGACAGGGATGCTGCTAAGTAGCCTACGTTGCAGGACACCCCACCACCACCACCAGGAAGAATTACTCAGCCTCAAAAGTCGATAGTACTGAAGTTGAGAATCCCTGCTGGAGGGAGATGCAGATCCAGGTCAGGGAATGACGAATCTGCTGGCTTGTTGTTAATATCAGTGTCCTGTGGATTATACAAATGGCCGTGATTCTTTTACCCTTCCTGTCATACCTGGACAAACCAATGCTTCAGAAACTTTTGAGAGCAGACCAGTTAGACTGCTGAAAGACCTCCAAACCTCCAGCCCCTCCCCCATTTCCATCCATCCTAATATTCCAGTAGAAAAAAGAACCCAAGAGAACAGAGTTGGAGAGGACCAAAGTAAACAAATTGCAGTACACTTGAAAGCAATAGTTTATGTTGCTGATGATAGCGCTTATTTTCACATGAGAATAAGTTGATATATTATTATTGTTATGTTGCATGGAGTTGCCTCCGACTCATAGCAACCTTGTGTACAACAGAAGGAAACACTGCCTGGTCCTGTGGCAGCCTCATGATCCCTTCTATACCTGAGCCCATTGCCGTAGCCACTGTGTCAGTCCATCCTGTTGAAGGCCTTCCCCTTTTTCATTGACCCTTCACTTTACCAAGCATGATACTGTTCTCCAGAGACTGCTCCCTTCTGACAGCATGACCATAGTAGGTGAGACAAAGTTGGCCATTCTCACTTCCAAGGTACCTTCTGGCTGCACTTCTTCCAGGACAGATTTGTTAGTTCTTTCAGCAGTCCATGGTACTTTCAGCATTTTTCGCCAACACCACAACTCAAAAGCATCAACTCTCCTTCAGTCATCCTTATTCATTGTCCAGCTCTCACATGCATATGAGACGATTGAAAATACCACGGCTTGAGTTAGGTGCATCTTAGTCTTCAAGGAGATATCTTTGCTCTTCAGCACTTGAAAGAGGTCTTTTGCATCAGATTTGCCCAGTGCAATACGTCATTTGATGTCTTGACTGCTGCTTCCATTGGCGTTGATCGTAGAACCAAGTAATATGAAATTTTTGATAACTTAAATCTTTTCTCCATTTATCATGATGTTGCTTATTGGTCCAGTTGTGAGAATTTTTGTTTTCTTTATATTGTGGTGTAATCCATACTGCAGACCGTAGTCTTTAATCTTCATGAGTAAGTGCTCCAAGTTATTCTCACTTTCAGCAAGAAATTTATACACATTCTGTTATTAAAACAATCCAGTAACTTTATGACAATTACTGGGATAGTTATTTGCAACTTACATGAATAAAACATGTCCCTCACAGTTCAGGCACATTTGAGGGCAAGGCACCTAAATCTCCCTTGTCAGTGGAATTGTGGATTACTTGTATTTGAACTGTAATATCCAAATATCTTTACATTTATTTTGGGGAAAATCAAAGCCAAAATCACAAGTACGGTTAACTGCCACACCCAGCAAACTAATTGTAATTCATAATTAAAAAGCAATACTAACAGCAAATGAAAGCCAGCAGCCAACTGAGTATAGCACTGATGCTGAATGTGCATTGAACAGCCCTTCTGGACATGTTCAGAGCAGGGGCGTAGCAGCCTCTGATGGGGGCTCTCAGAAACTCCAGCAGCATGTTCATCTGAACCTTGGGAGCACCAGATTTAGATTTTACTAACTCTTCCCATCTGGACTAGTAACCTTTGGCCATGATCAAAATGAATTTTTTGGCATTGTGTATCATTTGCCCATAACCAAAACACCAAACCCATTGCTGTCGAGTTGATTGTGATTTCCAGTGGCAACCCAGTAGTTCAGAGTAGAGCAGCCCCGTGGGGTTTCTAAGACTGTCATCTTTATGGAAGCAGACTGCCACATCTTTCTTCCATAGAGCAGCTGGTTGGTTTGAACCACCAACCTTCAGTAAGCAGCCAAGCACTTAACCACTGTGCCACCAGGACTCCTTCATTTGCCCATAAAAAATAAAGTTAATGCATTTCAGATCTGGTATCTTAAATGTCAGATAAGACCTCTTTAGCCCACCAGTGGCTTACAATTTAAGACTGTGCTGTGGGTGAAGAAGTTATTGTTAACAATCTCAGGATGACTGACATTTAGATTTAGTCAAGGAAGGTAAAGCCCTTGGTTGTGTGGCCTGAGTGTAGCACTGAAGAGAGTTAAGTACTATGAAAATATGGGGCCTGGGAGGAAGTTTCCTTTGTAGCCTTTGTCTTTTTTTTTTTTTTACATTGTTCCCTCCCCTCCGCTGCCACCCTAGGAACCAACAAAGAAAGTTTCTTTCCATATATAAACCTTTCCTTGACTTTTTACGATCATGAACTAATATAATATTTGTCCTGTGATTGACTTATTTTATTCAGTATAATGTCCTCCAAGTTCATCCATGTTACGCAGTATTTGCCCTTGTCTTTTTTAAGGAAAAAAGGTTGCTGGAATGATCAGGGAGATGAAATCATTTCAGGTTGACAACAGTAAAAAAGACGAGACTCTCTGGAAAGATAAGGGAGGCAGCAGTGCTAAAATCTGTAAAATCCAAAACTAAACCTGCTGCCATCGAGTTGATTCCACCTCACAGTGACTCCCATTGGGTTTCCAAGGTGGTAAATCTACCGAAGTAGGTTACCCCATCTTCCTTCCATGGATCAGTAGTGGGTTTGAACCGCCAAACTTCTGGTTAGCAGTCAAATGCCTTAGGCACTGTGCCACCAGAGCCCCTTAAAATGTATAAAAGGAAATGGAAAAAAAAAAAGAGTGGAGAATTGGCAATCCCACTTTAAAAAAAAAAAAAAAAAAAAAACTCCAAAGTATCAGAACAAGAAAGAAATATTTGATACTTTAATTTAAAGAACAAACTATTGTTGTCCAGTCACTTCCGATTCATAGTGACCCTATCGGACAGAGTGGAACTGCCCCATGGGGTTTCCTAGGCTGTCAATCTTCACAGAAGCAGGCATCAGCATCTTTCTCTTGTGGAGCAGCTGGTGAGTTCAAACTGCTGACCTTTCAGTTAGTAGCCAAGCTCTTAACCACTGTGCCACCAGGGCTCCTTTGATGTTTTAATAAGATTGTTAAAAGGTAAAAGAAAATATAGTAATTCTTTATATAGTAAAAATGCACGTACAGTATTCCTAGAGGTTCTACAAATCACAGCCAATACAAATTTTAGAATGGCTTGGGTAAATTGGTGAGTTAATGAACCCGTAACGAGTTATCCAGCTCAGTCCTCCCTTGGAGGTAGTTACCATTCTCTTATCGCCGAACATTCCTTGTTGCTTGGGTACACTAGGATCCACTGCCACTATGTAAAGTCCTGTTCTTAAGAGAAAAATTTATAACCTGTCTTTTGTGTTTAGAGGTTTTACTCCCTCAAAGTTGCTCCCAAAGTTAAAGCCACAGCTGCCCCTGCAGGAGCGCCTGCACAGCCTCAGGACCTCGAGGTGAGTCTCACTGCCATGTTTTAGAACCAGCATGTGCTTCCTACTCTTTTGTAAAACAACGATATTAATCACTTCTCTCCTTTATTTTAAATTCAGTTTACCAAATTACCAAATGGTTTAGTGATTGCGTCCCTGGAAAACTATGCTCCTGCATCAAGAATTGGTTTGTTCATTAAAGCAGGCAGTAGGTATGAGGACTCCAACAACTTGGGAACCTCTCATTTGCTGCGTCTTGCATCCAGTTTGGTAAGCATCTTAACATCCTCAACATGTTTGGAAATGCAGTGGAATTGTAGGCTTAAGAAAAAGAAAAACTTAAAAGCACTGGCCCCCAATTTAATGTGATTTAAAGAGGGCAATTATAACATGAATAAACAGAATGTTTGCTAGAGAGAAGCAGTATATTAATGTCCATTTCAATGCTGGTATCACATCGTAAGAACTCAGTGGAAAGGAAAAGAAAAGTACTAAAAGTTGAAAGAAGATTACTCTTCTCCCCATGCAACTCTCTTCCACAATATACTAATGAATCTGGTAAGCTTGCATTTGATAATAGAATTTTTCCTAAATGTACTTTATATAAAAACATGTACTTGTGCTTTTTAGTACCTTGTTTTATAAATCTTAAGCTAAAAAAAGATCTGCTGTTTACATAAAGTTCCTTTTGACTCTGCCAGTGGCAGACATTAAAGCATGTTTACTCAACTTGGCATTGAAGAACCACTAAAAAAAAATTCTTTTTTCCAGACTACAAAAGGTGCTTCATCTTTCAAGATAACCCGTGGAATTGAAGCAGTTGGTGGTAAATTAAGGTTTGTGGAAACAAATAATAGAGAATAAATAGTAGAAACTAGAAAATACTCACTTGTAAGTAAAATTTTCTCAGTTATCCAAATGGTGAAGGATTTTTTAAACAGGGCACAGACAGGAAAAGACTGATGAATTTGACTGTGTCAAAATTTAAAGCATCTTTATGGCTTAAGTATAGTAAAACTTTCAGCAACTAAGTGGAAGTAGATATTTTCAACATACATAACTTGGAGAGGATTGTTGTTTGTTGTTATGTGCCGTTGAGTCAGCCCCGACTCATAGCGACCCCTCCTTAGGTTTCCGAGGCAGTATCCCTACAGAAGTAGGATTGCCTAGCCTTCCTTCCAAGGAGTGGCTGGTGGGTTTGAACCACCAGCCTTCTGGTTAGCAGTCAAGTGCCTTAGGCACTATGCTACCAGAGCTCCTTGGAGAGGATTACTGTTTGGAAAAACAAAGAGCTGCTAATCAGGATAAAGGATAGGGATAGCCTCTCCTCAGAAGCGGAAACCAGAAGCAGTGATCTTATTTGTAATCAACAGTGTGATACCATTTCAGACCCATCAGATTTCTGCTAAGGTGATGTGCTGGCGATAATAAGGTAGATGGGAAATCTTTTATTCTGCTGGTGGGAGAGTAAGTAATTTAACTGCTTAGAAAAGAGTTAGAACTATCTACTAAAGTTGAAAAGGAGCATAAAATATCCATAAAGATTGGGTGGTTTTTAATCCACATGCATGAAGATGTTTTATCTTTGTAAAGATTAGAAACAATGTAAATAACCAGTAGGCAAACAGATAAAGTGTCCTAGTCATGATGGGAATACTAAATAGCAGTTAAGGAATGAGCTACAGAGGTAGCAACAGGGCATCCTGCAAAAACAAATTCCAAGATTTTTAAGGTATGAAGGTTTGCTGGTCTGATAGAGCCTCGTGGAACCACTGAGAGTAGGCCCCTAGCTGCCCTTCAGGTTTGGAATTGAACCCACACCTGTGGCTTCCAGCCAAACAAATGACAGGCATAGGAGTTGAACATTTACCTGAGGTAGATACATTCCTTGGAGAGAACAATCATGGGAGAAAGAAAGGCTGTGTATGCACAGGGAGACAGCTCAGGGGGCAGGAGTGCATGGAGGGTGGGCACAGGGAAGAGGTAACTATCAGGAGGAAGTGGGAGGGGAGCTGTTGCATTGGGGTAATTGTAGTCAGTGTCATGAGACAGTGTATGTGAACTGCTGTATGGATGGTGGATTGCTCTGTAAACTTTCACCCAAATCACAATAATTAATTAACTGGGGGGGATTTTTAAGCTATGATACATTTGTAATTTTTTAAACAGAGTATTACTGTGCAGCGCTTATGATTGTAGTTGTTTCCAGAGTGGGAGAGAAGGAGGAATAGGCCTGGGAAGGGTACAAAGAGATTTTTTTACTTCATTTGTGAGGATTTTGCTTTGTTTTAAAAATACATATTTTGATAGTTACACATAATGAGCATCATCAGTGTTACTGACCCGGAACCACTGTTGGCAAATTTTTGTTATACATATTTTTACTATAATTATATATGTGTGCAGGAGCTCTGGTAGGTTAGTGCCTAAGACACTTGACTTCTAACCAAAAGGCGGGCAGTTCAAACCCACCAGCCTCTCCTCGGAAGGAAGATGGGGCAATCTACTTCTGTAGTAATACTGCCTCAGAGACCCAAGGAGGGGTTGCTATGAGTCAGGTCTGACTCAACAGCACATAACAACAATAACAACAACAACATATATGTGTGCATATATTATATGTATATGTATGTATGTATAAAACTCACTTCCATTGAGTCGATTCCAACTCATAGCAACCCCCATTGGGTTTCCAAGGCCGTAAATCTTCACAAGTAGATTGCCCTACCTTCCTTCTGCAAAGCAGAATGTATATATACTATGTATGTATGTATGTATGTATGTATACATATAGATGTATAATGGGTGATATGTGGGAGATAGATATTTACGTACATATGTTTGTATACACACGCACAAACATATATAAACGTCTTTAAAGTTTAGTTGATGAGTATGTGAGGTTTTGTCACATTGCTGTTTTTACTTTTTTATACTTACAAAACTTTTTTCCCAAGGTAATTGGTTGATTAATGAAGATATAAAGAAAAGCTGACTTTCAGATTAGATAACTGACTGTAATTTGTTTCCAATTCAGTGTGACTACAACAAGGGAAAACATGGCTTACACCGTGGAATGCCTACGCGATGATGTGTAAGTATCTGTGCATATTGAGGACGTCTGTTGTTAAAAAGACAACAAAGCTGCTCAGTGCTGGTGTTTGGGAGCGGGGCCTATAACCTCTGACTTTGGTTTTGGATTCTTATTCACAAACTGCTCAGAGCACTGTAATTAGCGCAAGGCCTAAAGTTTGATGCTGAGAGCATTGCTGTTAGGTAGAACTTGGACATTGGTTTTAAATTTGAACTTGTAACCCTCACCTTGATGTCTTCTGTAGTGATATTCTAATGGAGTTCCTGCTCAATGTCACCACAGCACCAGAATTTCGTCGATGGGAAGTTGGTGCCCTTCAGGCTCAGCTAAGAATTGACAAAGCTATGGCTTTCCAGAATCCACAGGCTTGTAAGTGATTTTCAGACTTGTTTCTAAATACTGGTTTTTCAAGAAAACTGAGTTGTAGAGGAAAAAACCGCCGCTGAATTTTTTTTCCATTTAAGTTTATAAAGTCCCCTTTCCAAAAATGTCCAATCCTTTAATACACTGTTTCTTCTTCTGTTTCTCAAAAGTTGTATTAGTTGTTGATTATTTTTTTATCATCTTTGATAGCATATAAGTAGATTATAAAATCCTATCCTACATTTTTTCCTGTTTTCCCCCAGTTTCTTTTTCAAGAGTTTTGCTCACACCAGATCCAGCTGTTTATTGATCCTGCTGCTATTGTTACTGTTTAGCCAACTCATTTATGTTGAGTCTTTCTAAAGCAAGCAACGTAATTTTTGAAAAACAAGAACTTTTATTTTCAGGTTTCATATTCCATCCATTTATTATAATATTTAATTAAGTAAATAATCTTGATAAGTACAGTTGGCAAAACAAATGTATAAACCAGTATTGTAGACTGTGGGAAAGCATACAGCTTCTGGTGGGAGGAGCTGTCACTCAGCATGCACATTTGTTAAGAGAGAGTCTGCTGTCCAGTTTCTGAAACATAGTGCTTGCTTCCTGTTAATTACTCTTACTTCATAGTAGTAATTTGTGTTATAGAGAAGTGTGATCAGTTTTACTGTGGATATCTACCAAAGAAATAGAGTAATGGAATTATAGGAAAGATGAGTTAGGTGTCCAGGGTGGCTTCTCCCACACTAGTACCTCAGAGCCACCAACCCTCGTTATTTCTGCCTGAACAAGGGCACTAGTCTCCTAGCTGACTTGAAAATCTGGAGAAATCTTTTAAAGGTTTCTTACCAGCTCTAGGATAAAGTCCATTTATCCCATACTGTAGGGTAGAGTCCATACTCTTCAGTTTAGCATCAGTTTAGCATATCTGGCTTCTGACTGTCTCTTATTTCTTGCTCTGCTTGCTTCCTCTCCCAGCTCTAATTCCCTATGAGTCAAACTCATGCCATTTTTTATGACTTTGCTTTGTCTATTCCCTGTGCCTGAAATGCTGTTCCCCGTTCATTCTCCACTTGGGAAACACCTACTCATTCTTTAAGATTCAAGCTCAGATTTCACTTCTTTATTCTGGTAGCATAGTGCCTAAGGCTGGCGGTTCAAACCCAACAGTCACTCCTCAGAAGGAAGATGGGGCAATCTACTTCCGTAGTGATACTGCCTCGGAAATCCAAGGAGGGGTCGCGATGAGTCAGGTCCAACTCAGCGACACATAACAACAACAGCATTCGTTTCCAGTTCCCACTGTTCTTCTCTTGTGCCCCTACTACACTTTGACATACTACTGACATTGCTCCCATGATACTTTATTTCACAGTTCTTCATATTTTCTGTCTGTCAGGATTGTGTCCTCATCTTTTTGTTTCTAGCTTGTAGCACAGTAGCTAGCATAGGGAGGTTGTCCCAACGACAAACAAATGAAAGGAACCCACCTCAAGCAAAGGGACTGATGCCAAAACCAGAAATAGTGCTGGGGCACCAATGAGGATTCCAGTTTGACGGTAGCATTTGACCCTTGAAAACAAGTAATATGAGCTAAAACAAAAAACTTACTGCCATCCAGTTGATTCAAACTCATAGCAACCTCCATTGGATTTCTGAGGTGGTAAATCATTACAGAAGGAGATTGTCCCATCTTCCTCCATGGACCAGCTGGTGGGTTTGAACCACCATCCTCTGGTTAGCAGTCAGATGCCTTAGGCACCGTGCCCACAGCTCCTTAAATACGAGCTAAGGCTGACACTTTGACATCTGCTTTTATACTGACTAGATAGCCTCCTTGTTACCTGGAGAGGGAACCTGGAAGATTCAGATTAAAGGATTTATCCAAGGTCACATGGCAAGTTGGTGACAGACTTCCTGAAACCTAAGCCATTACACTTTTCCATTACTGTGTCTAATCCTAGCACCTCTTGGATGATGGAAATGATAGGTAAATTAAAGTTGAAGAAGCAATGTATAAATAGATTGTGGCCTGTAAAAGCTGCTGCCATGTAATCCTTACTTTTCTCAGCACATTTGACTGGAACACTTCAAAGTTACTAGAGGTTGAACAATAATTTATTTCAAGTTCCCAGAATATTTGAAGGAATCTCTGAGTGGCACAAACAGCTCAGCACTTGGCTACTAACTGAAAGGCTGGTGGTTCAAATCCACCCAGAGGCACCTCAGGAAGGCCTGGCTCTCTAAAGATCAGCCAGTGAAACCCCATGGAGTACATTTCTGTTCTGCAGCACATGGGCTCGCCGTAAGTCAGTGGCAACTGATTTAGGGTTGTGTTTTGTTTTTTCTCTTTTGAACATTTTGTCATGGTTTGGTGAAAGTTCATTGAGCAAATTAGTTTTACATCCAACAATTTATACACATCTTGCTTCATAATATTACTTCCAATCCTCTCAGTGTAGCAGCACTTCTCCTACTTCCTTCCTGGGTTCCCTGTTTCCAGTCCTTCTTTCCTGCCCTGTCCTACCTTTGGTTTAGAGCAGATGCTGCCCTTTTGTTATTGTAGAGTTGATTCAGATCCAGATTTGAAAGGTATCTAAGGGTCATAGTCTCAGGGGTTCCACCAGTTGCTGTCAGACCAGTAAGCCTGGTCTTTTTTATGATTTTAAATTTTGTTTTACATATTTCTCCCATTCTGTCCATCCCAATCAGAACATTTTGTAGTGGTAGGCTGGCACTGTCTGGTTCTTCTGGTCTCAGGCTAGTAGAGGCTGTGGTTTGCATGGTCCATTAATATTTTGGACTAATTTTTTCCTTGATTCTTGATTTTCTTTGCTCTTCTTTGCCCCAGATGGAAAGAGACCAATCAATAGTTGCATCTTAGATGGCCTCTTGCAAGCTTTTAAGACCCTAGTCGCAACTTACCAGAGTAGTCTGTAGAAACTGTCTTTGTGGACTTTGTTATGCCAGTTGACATAAATGTCCTCTGAGACTGGGGTCCTCAACTCCCAGTCCCAGCGACTCAAGGTATTTGGTTATGGCTAAGAAGGTTTCATAATTTTGTCCCCTGTATGCTCTATACATAGGGTTACAGGTGAGGACAGACAACTCAGGGACACCCAAAGCAGCAGGCCGGAAGAGCAGGAGAAAGGGAATTAAAAGCCAGGAAGCCAGAGAGAGAGCAATCAGCTGAAGGGATTAGGTGAGGAGAGGAAACTCGGGCCCGCCCAAAGCAGCAGGACCGGAGAGCAGGAGAAAGGGAATAAAAGCCAGGAACCCTGACAGAGGAGCAGTCAGCCCCAGGGACAACTCAAGGACGCACAAAACAGCAGGGCAGAAGAGCAGGAGAAAGGGGATTAAAAGCCAGGAATCCAGTCAGAGGTACAGTCAGCCACAGGGACCCAGTTGGGGGTGATACGAGAGGTCTCCAACAGCAAGACAAACTTGTCTGTCGGTTTGTCCTACTGTGGTGACATGTAGAC